AGGGAGTGTAGTGATAGGATGAGGGATAATGGTTTTAAACTGAAAGAGGGGTGATCTGGATTAGACACTAGAAAGAAATTCTTTCCTGTGAGGGTGGTGAGACCCTGGAACAGGTTGCCCAGAGAAGCTGTGGATGTCCCATCCTTTGAAGTGTCTAAGACCAGGAACACTGCAGCAGGACTGAAAAATAAAGAAATTCCTAAACACTCATAACCCATTAAATGTTATTTGCAAGCCAATGAAAAGACCACTGTTAAATACACCTGCTAAAATAACCTTTGCTGAACTGTCAAAGGGGCTTTACAGTAAGATCTGTCTCTTTGATTTTTTGTCTTTTTTGCCCAGCAGCAATGGGTACCAGTTGTACATGGAGCGATCGGGAGGAAGGAAATAGGGATGCCAGGCCAGGTGGGCACTGCAACACAGCAAGGGAATAATGAGAGAATAATGAGACCCTCATTCTCTAATGGCATCAGACTGTGGTCTGGCCCTTGTGTTAGAGTTTGCAACGTCCAGCAGACAGGAAAACAGGGAAGTACAATGGCTCTTTCTCTAGTAGGTGCTTGGCTGGTGGGACCTAAGCCACCGTCTGGTAGTAGCATCACAGCTTCACATTATAGGAGTCCCTGAGTCGGGCCAGAGCTTGGAACGACAGTGGTGGCAACGCTGTGTGCTGGACACCGAGCTGTGTTAGTAATTTTCCATAATGTCCTTATTCCTTCTTTTCCGAGTGCCTGTGGCGGGACAGAGAGGTATTTGTAGAAAGCAAAGGCTGGCATTACAGTGTCGTGCCAAGACAGAGCTAGTTCTTAAACAACAAAAGGGCAAAAAAAGAAATGGATGCACTATACTTGGTGTTTCTGCTGTTATCACCGAAAATTATACTTTCTTGTAAACCTGCAGTGAGCGGTTCCCTCCCTTTGCATAACGGAACCTGAGAGCTCTGCAAACTGCAGCAAAGTCAGGCCTTGGGACTCTGTACAAAAGTGTTCCTTGCTGGGGAGTTGTTTCAATGAATTCCTGCACAAATACGACCTACACACAAAGCCTTGCTCCTGCCACAGTGGGTGCTGTTTTAGTCCCTCGCTATCTGCAGTTTTGAGGAACTGTCAGTGAAAAAGCCTATTTTGAACACGTGTCGTTTCTTGCTGTCTTGCCCGCTCTGTCCTGGTTTCTTGCCAGCTTCCTTCCAGGTACAGGAGAAGACCAGGGATCGGGTACCCTCCTGAGCAGCCATACTACAACTTCAGAGAGGGAGGGTGTAAGAAATAGGCTTCATTTAAAGTGCTCAGCAGGTAGCGAGCTGTGTGTAAGTATGTATTCCTCCTTGCGTGGCAGGAAGTAGAGGAGCCAATTGTAGGCAGTAGTTGTATTTTCTGGCATCCGGTATTTTTGAATGAAAGCAGATTCCAGACTGTCTGCTGCGATATATAATGGTGATTAATAACCTTGCCTGCTTCCTCTGGATTTGATGTTCGGCTTATGTTAAGATGTAGGGAGTATTGTTTGCTGGGATGACATCAAGAGCTCTCGGATGAAGGGAGTAGAGACACATCCTTTCCTTGCACAGCATTGGCAGGGTTTCGGTGCTTCTCACTTCTCACAGGGCTGAAGAACAACACATTTCATTTCAGAACAGCAGATCTACCCCTTTTTCTCCTTTGGACTCACTTGTTAAAAGAAACCAGATGAGGAGAGGCCTGCAGAGGAGTCATGAGTGGCCTGTAAATGCCCAGCATCCCCCTTCTGCCCTCCCTAGCTGGGAGCAGCGTGGTCAAACCACAGGCTAGAAGAGATTTTTAATGGAAGGGGGCACTGATGGAGGAGATGCTCCTCTGCTTGTAGGTAATATAATCTGGGAACAAAAGAGCAGTGGAAGGGGAGGACAGTGGTCTCTGGAGGAGAGTTACAGCCGTTACATCACAGTTCTTGAACACGCAGCCAATTTAGATTCAACAGATTGGTTATTAGATCCACAGGCTTTGAGGTCACTCAGATTCAGGGCTTTGTTTAACTCCCTTGAAGCAGCAATGGGCTGTTTAGAACTGGGTTCCCCACCAGCAATACCAGGCAGCATCTGCAAGGTGGGGATGGAGCCAGAGTGTGGAGGCTTCGGCGTGGGGCCAGCTTTGCCTGGGGCTGGGGCAGTGTCTCTCAGCACGTGAGGAACCGGGTGATTCAGATCTCCTGTAGCACACAGGGAACAGGTGACCACCACCAGCAATACATCAGGTTGCGTGGCTGGGAACCCCCAGCGAGCAACTCCAGGGAATGAAGAAGTTCTTGGAAATGTATTTTGAGGGTTTAGTGCCACTTCTAGGAGGGTATGTCAAATGGCTGAGGCATTCAGTGCTCCTGGTCTTCAAGTACCTGTGTAGACGTCAGTAAAAACATCTGAAGTCTCAAGGCAGCAGAAAGGACCTCCTTCTCACAAGTCAGCAAGTCATGGGCAAAGAAAAGATTAACCTTTTTATACTGATGTTGTAACAGAGGCCCCAGGAGGCACAGGGCACTGCTGTGCTAAGTGCTATGCAGTCCTAAGAAGAGATAATCCCTGCCCCAGAAACTTCAGACTCCTGGGTGCTCCTTTTCCAAGGCAACTTCATCACTTCTTGAGTCTTCACCTGCTACTGGGAAAAGGCAGCCAAATGAACTGGAGTTTTACAAACTGCCTAGGACTTGGAAAACCAAGGGAAATTCTGTTTAAAAGGACACTAGGGAGAGGAGTCTTAATTCTCATTGCAAATCTTAATCTGAACCAAGATGTAAAAGCTGCTTTATTGAACAGTGTCAAGGACAAAGTGATCAAGTGGCCCAACAGGGAAAATGTAGTTATTTCCATTGCCTCCAGCAAAGCCAACAGAGAAGACTGAGGGTCTGCTGGGGAAGGGTGCTAACCTGTCCTTCTCCATCACTGATTCTTCATGTATTATTTAGCCTTTCCAGCCTTCTGGTTTGCAGGGCAGTGTGTCAGTGTCTCCTGGCTCTCCTACCAACTCCAACTTCTTGGGATTCAGTGGTGTCAGAAGGGGCTTTGATGTGCTCCACCATGTTACCAGTTACCTGCCACCTTCCTGAAGTACAGAGCTGTGGAAAAGCCAGGGCTGGCGTGCGGGGAGGGGAGTTCCCATGATCATATGACATCGCCTGGGTTGTCATTAATCAAAGAGCCATCATATGACATCACCTGGCCTGGGCTGTCATTAATCAAAGAGCTGCCGCACAGGATGTCCCAGTCAGCTGGCTGCTCGCAGCCCGCGTGAGGCTTTGGAGGGTTCTCATGGTGGGTAGAAAAGCTGCCTTCTCCTGCAGTCTGTGTGTCTGAAGCTGCTGAAGGTCTCCTGGACAGACCTGAGAACGTCGGGTCTTCTCTTTTACTCCCGTACTGTGTGAGGACAGACTCTCTCCTCTTTGCTCCACCCGGATTACATAGGACTGGAGCAAATGTTGGCTGTCTCACAGCTTACAGATGGGGACTGCACACACCCGTGTAAGGTATTATACGTATTTCCCATTGAAGAATGCTTAGAATAGATGTTACTGGGCGTGCTCTGCTACTGTGGGTGTGTGTAATCTTTGTAAGGTATGTACAAGTACCGTGCTGTTGGCCTGAACCCTTCCTCAGCCTGGCAGAAATCTAGGTTTAGCCCCCAGCTCTGTAATCCTTTGGGCTTTCTGCTTAAATCTTTCCTTGCTTCTCTTAGAAGCGTGTCCTTTTGTGAAGACAGTCGCTGTCTTCATCATCACTAATTTGCTGAAGACACCCGAGAGCCTCAGAGACACAGAGTTACTACATCCTCTAATGGTTTCTTGAGGACTTTTGCTGTTCCCTTTGGTTTGTGGGTGTCCTGTCCTTTTGCTGAGAGAGCAGTACTGATTTGTGTGGCTCTAAGTGACATCTCTCCCCTGCTGGTCTTTCAGCTGGCACGTGGTCAGTGCTGGATTTTTTTTAAAGCCTGAGTGTAATATTTCAGGAACCAACCTTTTCAATTAGAAGCCCACAAACTTAAGCAGCTCCTTGCAGTGAAATTTGGACTGTGTATCCTCGGTGGCGTGAGGCTTACCGCATTTCCAGGTGTGTGGTTAAAGAAACAAACATCCAAGTACAGACACCGTGTGGCAGTGAGCGGCTCGGGAAGGGAAATTCTCAGGTTTACAGCGCTCACTGATCGACTCAAAAAAGTCATTCCATCCCACGTGCCTCAGCCTGGGAATGCCTCTTGCAAATGGCTGATGTCATGGTAATATTTCGCTTTGGGAGGGAGGCCTGGTGACCTTTGCAGCTGGATTCCAACAGCCTCTTACTGTCACATCTGTCCGGTGACGTGGAAAGAAAACACATCCGATAATCACGGAGCAGATTTATCCGTATGGAAGCAAAGCCCCACGTGTGTGAAAGAGACTTAGGGTGCTCAATGACAGAAGCACCGAGAGGTGTTTCTGCTTGAGTGATGGTTCCTAAGGTTCAAAGGACATAATTCACCATGTGGCTGCCCTTCAGGCACGGTCACAGCCTAGAAAGTGGGTTTTGGTGGTACTGAAGCAAGGAATTTGTGCCTGATGTGAATGGATGGCTAAGGTGTAACAATGGTTATTTCTGCGTCACTTAGCATTATTGCCAATTAACAGCATTGCCTGTTAATTGGTAATATCAGAATCAGAACAAGGCCTCTACGTGAGTTTGTGGTGTATGACTACCACAGCTCACCTGAATTTCTCCGTGACGCTGACAGCAGACAGCAGCATAATCTCCATCTCTTGTCCCAGCCCTGTGGAATTCATACCTGATGAGGTGTGATCCTTCTCCTGGGTCAGTCAGCCCCGAGCTTACGTAGCAGCAGGAAACTCCAGAGTGGGAAGTGTGAATCCCTGCTCCCGTCCACCACCAGCACACGTACACCTTCATCCCTCTGATCTTTACTCATCTGGGACTTCTTGGCTTCTTTCCCATTCATCATAAGCAATCAATTAATTGCTTCTTTTTGCTGTTGTCATTGCAGGGCAACCATCGATGAAGTGGAAACAGATGTGGTGGAGATAGAAGCCAAGCTTGACAAGGTAAGATGGGGCAGCTCGGCGGTTTAAAGAAGGACAGATGAGTTCCTGCTCAGGAATATGGCCCCACCAGTCTCCTCTAAAAAGTGAGCCCATCTCAGGCTGTCAGGAGACTAATGTCCCACACACTGGGCTTGTCAACAGGACCATGTCTCCCTCTACTGACAGGTACCTGTCAAGGCTCCTTTGTGACTGCCAGGGGAGTTAAAACAAGAGGTCCAAACTTGGGCTCCTCATTCTCAGTGGTGGCCTTCTTCTTCTGGTCCTGCATCTCAGGGGACTGACACATCCAGGTTCGGACCGATGATGGTGGTTGCTGTCTGATGTTCAGCCAGGCTTCATGCCCCAGCTGTAATCAGACACTGGAAATACCCTCTCAGGGACCAGTTTGGCCATTTTGCATTTATGCTGGTGATTCTTTACACCCAGTTGGTAGTTTGGATCTAAGTCAGAAGCTTTAGGATGGAAGGCGACTTTCCCACTCCCACTCCTCCTGATGTCTGAGACGTCAGCCAAGTTGTTTCTAAGTGAGAACAGGGAGAAATGAAGAGGAGGAGCCAGAATAGCTTTTGGCTTTTTATCTGTGAGATTTCCCAAAGCTATAGCAAGGGATAAAACTCCTGCGTCTGATGGAGAAATGGGCTTTGTTGAAGTCACAAGCCCTAGGCAAAGCTGTGTCCTATAAAACCTATTTACTACTCAAGCTGCTTGAAATGGTTATCTGCACGAGCTAACTAGTCTCACTGGTGAAAGCTGCAAAGGGATTTAGGTTATCTCTTCTCCTCTGTGGAAGAGGGTAAGGCTCCAAAGACAAAGCACGAGGCAAAATTTGCTCAGATTCTAGCACTACTGCTGTCAGTGACCCCTGGATTTGGACAACTTGGTGTGCCAGGGACAGTCACTGCCAGCAACAGCCTTCTCAGGCCTGGGTGCAGGGCAAGTGAGGCTGGAGTTTGCATCTGAAGAGCCACTGAAGTTCCATTGAGTTTGGACAAGATTCAGTCACCCCCATTCCTAATAAATCAGCTTTGGATGGCCCTGCTCCTCTCCTGTCTACCGGCTGGGTGGATGCCCAGGGCAGCCCTTCTAGGGCTTGGTGTAAATGTTGTTCAGAGGTACCCAAACAGCTGGCGTGAGGAGTTCTTTCAGAGCAGCAAGCTGCCAAGGACTGACTCTGTTTCTCTGCCTTTTACTGTGCCCCCGAGCACCGAGTTTATAAACGATTAGCCTTTTAACACCTGTTTAAAAATGGAGGTAAAGGGCAGCGTAAATGATTCATCCGAGGGAACACCGGCGATTTGGGCTGTTTTGAAGAGATTTCCTTCATTCTGTCCTGTGCTCCATCTGCAAAGCCATCACTGCTCCCCTCGGGAGTGTGCTTGTGCTGCATGACCTTCAGCTACTGGTTAACACAGCCTTGGCCACAAGTGTGTGCACAGAGGTATGCTAGAAACCGCCACGTTGCAGAATGGGCTGGATTTCCTTTCCAGAGGGTCTGTCCAAACTCGGAGTGTATGTCTGGGCTCCAGATGTGACAGGAACCGCATCTGTTTGCTTTTCTTCTCTGGGCTTGGATGGAGTAGTAGAAGCCTGTTAGCATCCAGTGCTGTTCTGTCTAATTGCGTGGACAGGAGAGGATGTGAGTGTGAAAGAGTGAAGACTGTATATGCTGTGTATACACAGATATATCACGTGTGACTGTATATATATTTATACATTCAGATAGATACATTTTTACAGAGCCAGACAGAGGCAAGCAGGCTTGTTCTGCAACGTTTGCATATAGATTAGACCCCAAAGCCTTGTGGCTGCATAAATAGAACAAGCCCCAAGCCCCAAAACAGCTCACTGTGCTACAGCGGGGCTTTGACATCCAGCCAAGCTTGAGAGCTGTTGGTTCCCAGCCTGTAGGTGAGGCTGGTTGACAGGGATAGATTTCTAAAGCCATATTTTTCATTAGAGAGATTAATATCCCTAAAAACCTCCTGGATTTTCAGAATGGAAGGCTTCAGTTCCAAGTGTTGTTCATTATCAGCAGCTGAAGTTTTTTACTTGATTAAAAAGTCTGGAACAGTGATGATTTAAAAACAAAGAAACAAAAAAAATTAAAAGTTGTGCTCAGCGGCCAGCCGTTACTGTTGCAAATCTCTTGGGCCTCTGGTTTCTGGGTTTATCTTAAGTTGTTTAATGTAACTTTTTACAAGAAGCTTTGGCTGAAGGGAGATAGGCTAATGGCCAGGAGTTGTGGCTACGATAATGCTCCAGTTTTTACAGCCACTTCCAGGCATGCCAAGGGACTTTGCTGTGGCTAGGAAGACTGGGAACGTTCCCTGCAGCTGCTAAATTATCAAAAGTTAATAAAGGCTGTGTGGAGATCTATACCTGTAGTGGAGCAAGCTAAGTGAAGTGAGGAAGCCACCCCATTTTGCTTCAAGTTCCAGGTGACATCACTGGTAACTTCACTCCATCAAGGCTGGTGATGAGAACCAGAGAGTTTGTAGGTTGCTTAGAGTTGTTAACGTTTCTCTGAACAAAGTTCTGTCAAGGTCCATCAGAAAGACTGTCCTATGTGACAGGCAGCCCAGAGACATGTGCTGTACCCCTCACCGTGCACCAGCAATGTTTCTTTGGGCTGCAGAATGGTGGGGATTGATTCATAGTTATCTACAGTCTTGATGGTTTTAACCTGCGTGTGAAGGAACTTAGATTTTCATTGGCTGCACGCAGCAGCCTAAGAGGTCCTGGTCTGTTGGTTTAAGGAAAATGTGATATAAAATCATGAAGCTACTGAATTCTGGCTTCCCTTTGTTCCAAGGGAACAGCAAGACAAGACAATCCCAAAGAGCAGCAGACTCCCAGCAGGGAGATTCTACTCAGCTTATCACTGCCCCCAGCACCAAGGCGTTACCTCCCCCAGTCAGTCGGTGTGATCAGGTGCCTTTTATTGCAACCCTGATGCCTCAGGAGAGAATGAACAGTAGAAACCCACCGAAAAAAATGGGCTGTCCTGATTCATCCATCCTCAGGGCATAGCCTGGGAGTGTTCAGTGACAAGTGAAATGTTGGCAGCATGACATACCCTGAGAAGTGTGATTTTATCCCTGTTTCTGCCACGTGCAGTAAGGGTCACTCGTGTAGCCACACCAGGAAGGTGAATGGCATCCTCTCTAAAGGTTGTGGGCTGTGGCGTTGGCACAGATTTGGTTTGGTTGGTGGAGATTTGATTTTTCCACTCCCCCCTCTCTCCTGGTGCAGCTGGTGAAGCTATGCAGTGGGATGATTGAAGCGGGCAAAGCCTACATCACCACCAACAAGCACTTTGTCAGCGGAGTCCGGGACCTGTCGCAACAGTGCAAGAAGGATGAAATGATTTCGGTAAGTCATCCCCTGGGATGGAGAGTGGGACACAGCGAGGGCTGGGGAGCGTTAAGCTTCCTGGTGCTGTGTATGGACCATATGTCCAAGACCCTTATGCTGTTTAAGTAGCCATTTAGTGTGAGATTTTATTTCTGGAGGAATGTAGAGACCGTCTGATAAGGCAGTGCTGAAAGAGCAGAGTGAGATGCATTGTTTGCCGGGAGGATTGGACTTTTAAGAAGCCACAGTGCTGGCAAGGTTGTTGGAATCTAGGTCAGTAAGCATCAGCTACTTAGGAAACATGGGTAACCAGCCTACACGAGCGACAACTGACATGTGGATTTCAGCATGAAACTGGAAAGGATGGGGAGCCTATGGCTTCAATGTCAGACATTTTTGAAACACCTTCTTGCCAAATGGCAGGGTGGCTCCGCAGTGGCTTAATGAGAGTCTCTCCCAGCCGTTGAGCCCCTGGGGATGAGGGGCAGCTGCTTCTATTCACTGCCAGTTCTCTTTACCTTTTTTTGCAGGAGTGCCTCGACAAATTTGGAGACAGCCTGCAGGAAATGATTAACTACCACATGGTAAGGTGCTGCTTCCTCTTGTCTTTTTGTGTGCTGATGGCAACCTCTGGTTAATGGTCTCCTGTGCTTGACGTACCGGGCACTCCATGAAGGGAGTTTCAGGTTCCAGACCCCAAATGCTGCATAGCCAAGAGAGCAGCACAGGACTGGGAATATTGAGCTGGATGTGCTGTGAGTCTGTGTTCTCACAATGGTCAGTCCTGAGGCATCACGTAGGCTAGGAAGTGGGATTTCCACAGGCTTGCAGAGGAGGTACCACTTAGTGAAAGGGTATGTACTGTTGCGTGGGTGTCTTTGGCTCATTGCAGATCAGAGATGTCCAATGAATATGTAGAAGGGTGAGGTTAGAGACCTCTTCATCAAAGGAAGAGGAGAGCTCACAAAGGTCCTGCACTGCAGATGCCTTTTCTTCTGCTTGGGTAGTGCAGGATTTTGTAGTGAGGAGAGAGAGGGTCCTGAGGAGCTCTGATGTCTCAGGACTCTGGCTGGTACCAGCATGTAGAACCTTGATGCTGCAGATTTGGAGCATTCACATTTGTGACATTAGGACACCAGTAAGGCTGTGACTGGATCAAACCCAAAGGACTGCATTGTTCAGTTGGTGCTGGGAGTGCTCGGCGAGTTGTGTGCAGCTCTGTGTTTAAGGATAACACAGGACATGTTAATGCTCCACGGAGATGAAAGGAAGGAAATGCCCAGACAATGGCTATTCTCCTGAGCTGACTGTGTCTCACTAACAGAGCCCAAGGGGTTAGAATCTGCCCTTTCTCCATCCCAAGCATCCAGCCGTAGCATCTGTAAACCTCATAGAAGAGGAAGGAGCTTCATGTGTGGTGGCTCCGTGCCAGACCCACAATTTTAAGTCTGCAACTCAGTAGGAACTTAAAGCACAAGTGCTTTCAAGTGAAGGAAGCTTCAGGGTGTCAGCACTGGACTGACCCACTTTTATACCACGATGCCCCTGTCAAAGTACATTAGGCACGATGCTTGCTTTTGGAATGCAAGTTTAACCACGTGCAGCTGGAGAAGAAGCTGCATCAAGTCTATTTAATTATTTCATGAAGGAGGTGGGAAGACTGTTTCCTGGTAAAATAGGGCAGGGAAAAGAGGTGCTGCATACGCAGCTTTCCTAGGGCTCTTAGTTTTTGGGAACAGTCAAGCAGCTGTACAGCAATGCTGTTGGCGGGGAGACAGTGAATAAACCAGTGTGAGCATCAGAGAAAAAATGTGTTTCATAGAATGGTTAGAGTTGGAAGGGACCTTAAAGATCATCCAGTTCCAACCCCCCTGCCCTGGGCAGGGACACCTCCCACCAGACCAGGTTGCTCAAAGCCCCGTCCAACTTGGCCTTGAATGTGAGTGTTTGTGACAAAGCAGAGAAAGTCAAACCCTGATGCTGCTCAAATTCCCTCGGAAAATGTAAGGCCCTTCTGCCAAGGAGCGTATGAGCCCCTGAGAGGCCACCCCTTCATTCCAGGGATCACATCACTGCTGTGCTGATAGGGGCTGGGCTGAGGAGTGCGTGCAGCCCAGCCATGAGGAAGCAGTCCCTGCCAGAAAGCTCTGGACACAGAACACTGTCTGCAGGCTCCGCTCCGCCAGCTGTGCAGCTTCCCCTGCATCCCTGGCCTCTGCCAAAAGTGCCACTTGTGGGATTGCTCTTGCCTCAGCCAACTAATAAGCCAGAAGGACCCTTCCCAGAGCTGTCAAATCCCCAGCTGATGCGGTATAACCCTTCCCATGCACCCCACCCTGCTCAGCAGGGGCGAGCTCCCCGCCACGTGTGACTCAGGGGCTGTAAAAGGCAGCGTTTCCCTACCACCAGCTGCATGCACAAGGGGAAACGTGCTGAAATCCTCCCTCCCCCCAGCCTTTGGGGAGCACCCTCCTCCCTCGGTGCACGGCAGCATGAGTCCCTGTCCAGGAAATGGCTTTGGAATGACTGCGGCATCTCGAGCCCTCTCCGGCGGCTTTTCAATTAGAGGAGTTATTTTTAGTGCCTTCTGCTGTCTCCTTTGTGTGTGTGTGTGTGCCTCTGTGTGTGTGTGTGTGTGTATCTTGGCTCATCCGGGTCTCGGATCTCAGCTATGAAGCAGTTGTCAGTGCTCACTCTAGGAATGTGGCCAGGACAGTATGTACAACTGGAACAAGTTAAAAAGAAGGGCAAACATTCCCCCCCAAAAAATCGGTTGGAAAAGCTTGTTCTATGATTTAATTGCTAGAGCACAGGGCCTGGTGATGTCCTGATTCTAGTTCAGCAAAATTCAAGCATAAAACTCACTTGAATTTAGAAGATGAACAGACTGAGCTCCTGAGCATTCCCACCTTTTAGTGCACGAGGAGGAAGAAGCGTCAAAGCAGCCTTAGAGGACAGATGCCAAAAGAGAGTTGAGTCCTACCACCTCTCTTGCCTTCTCTCTGTTTTTAACTTTTTCCAGTGCCCTTGTCATCCCTCCCTAGTGCTGGCCCAGGGGGTCACACCACTCCAGAGGGCACTGGTCTGTGTCCAAACTAGCCAGATTTTAGTTAGTTAAAGCCATTTCACAATGCAACCATCCAAACACAGTGACCTCTGACTGCAGTGCTGGCTTGGAAAGGTTCCTGGAGCTATGGTCCAGGGCTTCCCTGAGCTGTGCTCTGGAGGTGTCTGCCTCTCCTCATGAAGTATTTGAGAGGTTTGGGCTGCTGGCTGGGGCTGCTGGTGGTGGGTGCCAAAAGTGAATTGCTTGGGCTGCTGTTTTACTGGGGATGGCTTTGTAGGGGAGACAGAAAAGGTTAGATGGCTCAGACAAACTGGTGTAGGTAATGATGATTGAGTAAGAGGTCGAGGAGCTAATGTCTCTGGCTGGTTGTGTTTGATTTGACTAGTGAGCTGGAGAATCAGAGAATCATAGAATGGTTTGGTTGGAAGGGACCTTGATGATCCTCTAGTTCCAACTGCCTGCCGTGGGCAGGGACACCATGTCACTGCCTGGACAGCCCCAGAGGACGTGTTTCTGTAACATCCTTAGCTGGGAGGCTGGTTTTGCTGCTGCTCTAGGGAAAATGCCCTTCCAGTGACTTGGGCAATTGGCTTCCTGGGATGCTCTGTGCAGAAACGTGTGCTTGGTGGCTTGAAAAAGAGCTTCCTAGTGATGTTACAATGCTGACCTCTTGAGGCATCGCTGCAGCTGCAGATGTTGGGAGCAGCATCAGCAGAAAAGCCAAAGGTCCTGCTGGCTGTATGTCACCTCAGAGTCAGGTTCAAGGCAGGACACCGTGTGGGTGTTTCTCTTGGTGGCTTCACTGTGTTTTGCTTTAGGGGGCTGTCATTTCCCTCCCCTAACAACCATGGCAGCGTGTGGTTCTGCTGAATTCCTGTGCTCATCTTTCCTGACAGCAGTTCAGTGGTCTGATTCTCAGCTGTACTAATGCTACATTAGGGATGTAAGGGATAAGGATCCCCAGCGTCAGGCATCCTAGACCCAAAATTTCAGTTCATGCAGGAGGAAGATAAATGAGGAGAAATGACTGTGACTCCTCTTCATGTTCCAAAAGCAAAACGCCCCAACTTTCCCTATTGAATTTGAAAACATCAGCTATTACCTCCAGTACTTATAAAAGTCCAGTGTTTAGGTTAATTGGCTCTTTACAGAGGCAGGGCAGAGGTGCAGGGTCTCAGAGGTGTTTAGTTCTCCGAGTACCACTCTCCCATTATTTTTACTGTTCTGTTCTGTGGCTCCCCTGCCCCAGGAGCCTTTCCCTCCACACCACAGGAGCCCACGTTCTGCAGAGCCTGCTGAGTGCAGTCTTTCAGCCTGGGGCACGGCGGAGCTGCCCGGGGGATGCTGCATCCCATCCCCTCACCCGGAGATCTGCCACGCGCTGCTTAGAGGTGCATGATCCATGACAGGGAACAAATTTCCAGCTCCCTCCGTGAGCCCTCTGAGCAGCGGGTGGCAGACAGGGGTGGCAGAGCCCTGCAGCATCCTTCCTGCACAGCTCCAACCCTTTCATTTCACATGAGCCTGAGTGGTGTGAGCTGGAATTTTGCTCGAGGGCCCTTGAAGTCTCCCCTGTGATCCCTCCTCCTCACAACACACCACATTGCAGTGAATAAATTTTTGACTCTGGCTTGCCAAGCTCTTCTGTACTGGGAGTGCTCCTTGCTTCTCTGCAGACAGATGCTGTGCTGTCAGCTCTAAATCCTCTCTGTGTGTTTGCTCCCTCCTTCCTTCCTCCTTATCACCCTCCTGAAAACATGGAACCAGGTTGAAAGGCATAGCAATCTGCCATTATATGTGAGATATAAAAAAGATATATAAAAGAGGGACCTTTCCCTCTTTTTACAGAGTCTGATGAACATAATTAAGTATATAACAAGGTTTCCCCACAGGTATAGGAGCATAAAGTTGCCACCAGTTCTAGAGCAATGGCTAATAATTATGGGCTGTTGGATTTACATGACGATGCGAGGCAGCAGCGTTTGGAATTAGAGCTCAAGTGGTTTTTTTTCATCCCGTTGCCAAAGATTGTTAAACTCCAGACTTGAAGTGGATGGTTTTTCTCCAAAAACTTCTGATTAGGTCAGAATTCCCCACGCTGCTTCTAGGTGCAGTTCTTTCTAGTGCAGCCACGTACCTGATCAGCTCTGCTGAAGGCAGGTAATCCTCTCCTTCGACTTCTACAGCAGACATTACAGGCTGCACTCCATGCCAGCCCCTTGGTGCTGTCTTAGCTGTCCAGATTAAGAGATGTACGACTTACAGACAGCTCAAAGCTGTCAGCATCCACTTCCAAGGAACTAGGGAAGGGCATGCTCCAGGTTATACGAGGGCAAGATACACTGAATGTGGGGTGCAATAATCCCTGGCTCAGTCAAAGAACGGGAGGCATTTTTCCCACCAGCCTATTGCCCTACACATGCCTTGGAATGAAATATGAGGATCTGAGGCACAACCTTGTCACAGCAAGGCTCTTTCCCGTGCACTTCCCTCTCTCTCTGCAATCAGAAAGACAAG